CTATCTACAAGTAAATATATTTGCCTAAAAAACGTTTGTCATGATATATTTTGATAAAGAATATAGATATTATTACGTCTCAGAGAATTCTTCACGTGATTTTTTTTTCAATTGTTAAATGTATATTAATCTTGAGTGCAACGTTCCAACTTGGAACGATTAACACGATGGATTATGTGCAGTAGCAAATCTAACGTATACATTTACTTTCAGATAAGAGCGTCCGGGAACAATGAGCGCAGTTTTAGCGGAATACTTAATCGAGCGTGGCGTTCACAGTGCTACTCCGATACGATGTTGTTTCGATATTACAGTGGTTAAGAAAAAAAAAAAAAGAAAGAAAGAAAACAAAAAGAAGAAAACGCAAATGCGTGTTTTAATAACACATGTTATGTAAAGAAGTTTGCAATGTGGCGAAAAATGGTTGGGATAAAGTGAACAGACAATACGAAAGTCTTATTGAAGCACAGGCAAGTTATTTTCATACGATTATTCCTCTAGCCAATTGAAATAAAACATGTGAATTTAATTGAGGAAGAGAGAATGATATTCCAGCATTGAGTAACAAAAACGGAAAATTTCCGTTCCAAAAGAAATTAAACGCGATGTCATATCTTGTCACAAAGGAACTACATAAAGATCTGTATTATCACGCATTGAGCATGTCTTTCCTTAATGAATGTTTCCTCAGATGCTCTTTCTATCTTATTGTCGAATATTCAACATTAGATATTCCGTTATCAAACTTATTAGGCGCGAAGATTCTGGGCGATAATTCGGTCATTGATTATATTTATAATTTATAATAGCTAATATCATTATCATCGGTTGAAGTTATCCAGGCACGAACTGCGAAATTCCTGGGCCGTAAAATCGCATTATCAACTTATACCGAATACAATAGACGACGAAATGTAGCAATTAAAATGTAGATTTTTGGCGAGTTGTATTGTAAAAGTTTTCACTTTTATTGTGTAAACGTCGTTGCGTGAGGATGATTTTAAAGGCGAGAAATATTTTGATATTTCCTTGCTTGAATTAAATTAATATTAATATTAAAAACTACAATATGTGGATTTTCGCAAACTTTAATTCAAACAGCTCATATCTCATGAGAATTTTCTTTCATTGTACTTTTTCTTCCATGTTTATCAGAAAGACCAAATGTTCACAATAACAATCTTCATACCTTGCACTCAAGAGACATTTTAATATGTACGTTTATTTAAATTAAAAATTGATTTGACATTAATTAGAAATTGTAGGAGACTATGATAACACATACCTATCAATAAAATATGTGCAAGGAAAATATTAATATTAATAGAGGAATAACAAGAAAAAGTTTTAAAAATATACAAATGCTCTTTTTCTCGTCTCATCTTAATAGTTCTCGTTTGAATAAATAATGAAGAAAGCATGTGAATGCATAAATCTAATTTTAGTTGAGATTATAGTTACTCGAAGTGAATAAAAACATATTAGAATGCAACATTGCGGTACGATCGTGTGATTCATATGTATTCTTCTGGGTGCTTGTCAGACTTAAAGCCTCCCTAAATTATTCTCGCACATATATCTTTAATACACATCAAGATTTACGGACTTTAATTATGCGCGATTTCTCATCTCTCAAAACATTATATATCTCTTCATCTCCAAGTCAGTTATCCCTTTTTTACATCTGATGTTATTTTTCATGGGTTTAGCAGGATTATATACTACGGACTCAAAGAGAACCTCAAGAATAAAGTGGCACGATTTATCATGTAATTCTCTTAGCGGCCAATTCCGGTGAGACTCCTTAATAGCGAGCGATACAAAAAAGAGATTATGCATGATTTATTACAACAGAAGAAATTACTTTGTTGATACAAAATAAAAATTACGCTGACCGCTTGATCGAAGTACGGTTCATCGCGCGTTTTTATCGACAGAATTTTATCTACAGAAGAAATTCACTGTATTTCAGGATATCAGACAGACTGTTTATGACTTTACCGTTCGCTCAAAGCGGAAAATTGCCTCACGGATTGTTTGCTGCTCAAGATCTTTTTCTTTTGCAAAAATATGTTATTAGATGGACTTGATCGATCAGCTGTCCCGCTTCAAGTATTACAAATATTTTAAGTTTTTTTAATTAGAATTCCAAGACAAAGTCGCACATTGATAAAAATTGTGTTCACAATTAATTTAATCGCGGTTTATTTATAATTTTACGTAAATGCAAAGTCTTGGTCAATCCACATAACTTGTGTAATATCCTTACGTTCGAATATAATATCGCAAATTTAATTTAAAGTTGATAAAAAGTTGGTAAAACGCGAAATACGTATAAAAGTTGATAAGAATTAATGGGACCGCTCTATTTATTATTTTACTGGCGATATGTAAACAATAGTTAGGGACAACTAATGAGGTCGTCTACTAAACAGATAACAATTGAAACAGATTGAATACCAAATTAGCTTGCACGTGCGCGATAATAAGATATCCCTAGTGCTGCGCGGAGCTTTCTCTATAGGGATATAGACTTCAGAGTATCCAGAATTGCAAAAATAAATATTCGATGCTATTATTATTGCAATTACCATGGTTATGAAAATTCTAGAAGAAATTTAAAATATTCTTTTCAAGAAGAAAAATTGCATTATTCGATTAATTCCACCATCATCATCATTATTAGATTAAACCTATTTTCTCTCTCTCTCTTTCTCTCTCTCTCTCTCTTTCTTTAAAAAAATATCAGATTTAAAGAATGTTTGTAGATACTGCTGTTTCCGCGAACGTGAGACAAAAATTTATATAAAAAACGCGAGGAAATAGGAAGAGCGTTAATGAGACTGCTATTCATTATGCTGATTTATCATAAAAAAAAAATGTCGGCAAGATAATATTTTCTACATCCATTTTTTTAACAATAAGCAATATGGAGGCGCGAAAAACCCCGTACGTTATGACATATACGAAGCATTTATAAATTCCGTATTGATAATATACCATGTGCAAACGAATGTCCCGTTTGCTTAGTATATTACGCTGTAATGTCGAAGCTATATACCGAATAACACGAGAGGATAGATGAATATATTCAAATATTTTCATAACATTTTCCGCGCATATATTTCACATTTGTCTTTCGTTGTGTGTGGGAAATTGTAACGTACACAGATCAAAGTGATATTTTAATTTTTTTCACGTGTATACGCTTGATATAATAAATACACACGTATTAAGTCAATGAAAAAAAGCGGTAAACAGTTTTGCGAAATAAACTGCATGTTTTCGGAGACGCTCTTCTGGCTTGCGATTCGCAACTTCGATATGGCTCAAAATGTAAAATGCGAGGAATAGCGACGGAAAGATAAATCACTTTCATTTTATACCATATCTATAATGAGAAAGTGTAAGGATGAGACAGAAATATTTTGTAGAACGGCGGGACTCGCTTTTATAGGGAAAACGTAATACTACGAGAGCATAAATCTCCTCTTTCCAACCAATTACGCACATCACGATGATATTTATCTCTCCAATGTGCAATACTTAAACTGGAATGATAATTAAACTATGATAAATGATAATTAATACTACAGCAAAAAAATGTGCTTTCTTACAAACTGCAGTAATTAAAAAAGAGCCAATAAATTCAAATGAACTTTGTGAAGTAAACTTTTGCCAAAATGGATTATCTATTTCAAAGAAGCTTTTAGATCTTCAAAGTTAACTCAATATTAGTTTCATTTCTAGTACTCGCGTACATGCATAAAATGACTTGCGAAGCTTCATCAGCGCAAACATCTTTTTTACTCAATTAATGCATAAATACGTATATTATTCATCGCACGATGCTGTGATATTCAAATCTGTCGATATACTAGAAAGATTCCATTCAAACTGCTTAAATCTCAAATAGATTTTTAATTAAGCGCGACAGGAAGCGCAATTAAAATTAGATTGAGAGAGATTAGATAGAAAATTAGATGTTGTAATAATAATATGTACATATTAATTGAAGATATAGAGTATAATTGAAGAATTCTACGACAACCTAATCCAATGATATTTAAAAATAGATATTTTAACAATATCATTGGAAAAAGCTATTATTATCGAAGTTAAAATAATGCTAAATGAATCGTAAATAGCAAGTAAGTGCATAAAATAACGTCTATTATATTACCTTGCTTTGTAATATTTTCAATTAACATAATTGCCAATAATTACTGTAATGTAGTTTGTAAAAGTCGATAATCGATAACAACAATAACAATGTGAAACGTAAAAAACTTACGTATCCTACGTATAAGACTAAAGTTGTATGAAAAATGAAAATTCTAATGTTACGTAAAAGCTACTTAATTCGACATAAAAGTAACACAACTTTAGAAACTTATTAGATGCGATATTTTAATTTTCTTCAATAGAATACCTACGTTATATAATTGTAAGATATATAATACAAAAATATTATAGCTAAAAATATTTATCCCCATTAAAATGTCAGTTAATTGTATAATTTAACATATGAATTTATAAATACATATCTTCCTTATACAAAAAACTTTACTCTGCGGAAGAAATATAGAAACTGTGCGTGCGATCGCGGAACTGAAACGAGAGAGAGAGAGAGAGAGAGAGAAACGCACGGGTCTAAACCGATCTCGGTTCCTCGAATGAATTTCAAACTTAAGTTTAATTCATTATGATGATAAATGATCTTTCAGTTGAGGAGTTAATATCGATCGGTGACGAACCACCAACGTAGTCACTGTCAAACGTAGCGAATCACGTGGTTATGCCTCGACGGCTCCAAAGTCGTAGTCGACAGGATATTGTAGTTTGGATAAAGGATTTCTCGATCAGTTCTATGCGTAGCGAGAGCTCGCACGACGAGGGGTTGATTCTGTCCCGGGGGTAAGTGGTGGTGGATCGCACAGGGCGAACGACGCGTTCGTTCTCGCGCGGGTGAAGCCACCGTCGCCAGTAGCGTCGCGGTGCCGAGCCGGCGTGGTTCCTCTCTACTTCCGATCTCATTGGTCTCCCTCTCTCTCTCTCTGCTTTTGTTCTATTTCCAACTTTCGTTCCGAACTGCGAGCATCAGTCCGTAAGTACGCGCCGGATGATGCTTTGGTGGGACCACAGTCGCGGGTTGAATTCGAATTAAAGTCGGTATACTTGCGGTGAATTCAACGTTCAACGTTGCCGATCCCGGAAAACAATGCGTCTTATAAGTCACGTTCTTCATCGTTATGTTAAAGTAAAAAAAAAGAAAAGAAGAGAAGACAAATGTGAAAGTTTTTTCGGTGTGTTACATAGCAGCGTCGGCGTTTGAATTCATCGATATCATACCGGATTTAGAGACTGTTTTCGCGAGCGAGCTAGTTTTTACACATATTAATCGCAAATTTCTATCGATGAGTTTTATGGAAGAGTCGACCGTTCACTTCTACCGGGTAAATTTCGCAAGAAATAAAGGAAGTGTGCTGAGATCATCAAGTATTATCCATCTTAATGTTCTGGTTAATTCTAAACTCGTAAAAGTGGTGTTATAGTTAGATTATAACAGAGAAATCAGTTTAAAAATTTAACACATTTCTGCCGAACATGTTAAAAAGTATATTTATTTTTGTTTCTTTAATCAAATCTATGTTTCGATGTAGGCTTATTTACTTCTCGGAAGTTTTCATGTACAATAGAAAGAAATTTTGTATGAAATGTCTTATTTATTTGATTATCTTCCGGTGTATTTGTTGCCGAAGATTTCCGCGACACGAATTTGAGAAATTTGACGTTCTACCATTATGGATGATGGATTTATGCGCGTCCGTTTATTATCTACGTCACACTTGTTTGTGCCACATTTCTACTATCCCTATCTATGCATGGATATGATTCAATATATTTAAACAGCGATTCTTCGTACGCATGAGATACAGAATTTGCGTTTCGCATTCTCTTTTCATCCATAAATAATCTTTGGTCGATGCTGATTTTTGCTTAGTCATGATTCGATCAACTACTGCTCTCTCCCTGTCTCTCTCTCTCGTTATGTATTTATTTTCATATTTAATATTAGATCTCTCTCAACGCTTTCTTTCTTATTAATCAGTATAGCCATTGGATTTTTCTCATAAAAAATATAAAAGAAACATGTACAATTGCGCATATTATAAAAGAACGTCGTATCTAAAAAAGTTGTCATCGCAAATATACATTATTATTGACGTTTTTATTGTTGTACAAGTTCTTTTTCATTTTTTCCTCTTTCTCTTATTATGGATATCTTTTTTAGCATACAACATCATTCTCTTGTTACATGCTGTTAGTAAAATTTCCGTAAAATTGTAAATAAAATATACTTCTTTTAGTGATATGTACATTTCTAACATTGAGTCCCGATTGTATCTTTTGAGAGGTCATAAAAAATACGGAGAATAAATATAAATATTTGTAGACAGAAAGTACAAATTATTTTACCATATAAATTTCCAAATTGTCTCAACTAAATTATAGGAAATCAATTTTAAAATATTTGACATCATGCGGTACATTAATTGTAAAATAGGATTATTTCTTTTTTAAACAATATATGGCTTATCTCATATCAACGACAGAAAGCGATGCAATTCTGTAAAAATATTTTGTAATATTTTTGTCTATTATATCGCAAAGGGGAGATCTTCTGTGAAAATAAGCTATTAAAAATTATTTTGTAAACTTTCCAAGGCAATTTTTAACGGTGTCGCACTATGGTACAACGACTTTGACGATACATGGGATAAAATTGTTTTTTCTGATGCATATTCAAATAATTTTTCATTTGCATCTCAGTGGAACATGCGTTGTCCTGAATGTGACGTACAGTGGCATGAATTCCAATATTTTCCTATCAGTGTTCGACAAAAATGTCAAATCATGTTGAAAGGAACCTACCAAGTACCTCGATCACTCGCGTTCGTAAATTGCACGGCCACTTTCGTTCTTTCTACTCATCATTTTGTCACTTTTTTATATTATATCACGCGTTACTTTATGTTGCAGTTTTGTCATGCAAATCTTATGTAACTGAATGGATTTTTAATCTCTCATATTTCATTAAAGTTGATCGTCTTTCGTTAGCTACTCTTTGTAATTATTTTCGTGCAGTTCGAAGCAACATAATACGTGAGAATCCAACTTTAGTATATAATATATATAGTAATGGTTTTTGATAGAGCTTAGTAACTTCATATTATACTAAGAAAAAGTACATCATTTGTTCTTTCTTTCAAGTCGAATGCCATGTGTTCTAATAATTATCTCACATAAAGAATACATATGTAAAACAAGAGAAATTATTAACCGAACAATATATTATTAATAACTACCCTGATAGAGCCGATATTGTAAGCGTCGAGTGTAGTTTCATAGATAAAAATGGAGTGTAACGATTATAATTCATAAATCACGCGATTTAGCTATTAATTTCCTAGAATATAAACAAAGTGATTGTTATTTCTACTAGGTAACTACCTCTTCAATTAGATTCTCGTCGTATATAATATTCGATATTCGTTCGGCATTCGATACTCGTTGTATAAATATGCAAAAATTACCACACGTGCTAATTTGAGCATTGAACACACAATCGTATACAAACAGACATGATGGCCTTAAAATTTAGCGGAATTACATAAGATTTTCTTGATCAAACACATCTTGTCCGTACGTTCGTGCATTATGACTGTCGATTATTCAACAAATAAGGAAGATACGAAAATATCAAATGTTGCTGCCTCTGTTATTATTAATTTCAGATTTTATTTTATAATTTTCGAGTAATATTTAAAGTTTTCTAATAATATTTTTAACAACGCTACCGCTTCACTGAACGATCAACAGTCGCGATGCACGGATATGCCGGCATTATGTCGACTGAAAAATCCTGGCTACTATTGTGCCGCTAGATGTAAAAGCTATTACACGCCGTTGTGCGTACAGCTGACGCTAACACGTCATCTAGTATTGATCGTTTTTCTTTTAGCCTTTCGCACAAATGCAATCTTAGCGTATCTCTATTGCTCAAAGCAAGTTGCGCTGAATACGCAATTGAAAGAATTTCTTTGTGCGACTCATGCGATATAGAGGATTCCGAGCTATCTTTAGGGGAGAAAGACTTCTATTTTATTTATCTCAACCGGGATGAGAATTTCGGTATCGTATTTGCGAACTATTCTACGTAGGAAGTGACGAGTTTCGACGAAACATGAAATAGATAATATAGACAAAAATATGCACAACAAAAAGACCCATGAGATAACGGAAACTGATATCGCGCAACAGGAATAAAAATAATCATATCGAGAGGAATATTCCAGATCGATATGATTATTTTTTGTGCAGACCTGCCGTCGACTCCGTTCATTTCATTTATCCGAGGTTTACGTTCGAAGAATAATGAAGTTATGGTTGGTATTTTAGAGATGTTTACTCTTGAGCGCGTCTGCCTTTAGTTCGAGTTTCATATCCAGGAAAGATGGGAAATTGAGCTGTAATACTATCAAAACAAAATCTCCTTGTAATTATCATCGTCTCTTTCACGATGCTTTGCTAATAAACATTTACCCGTTGCGTCATCTGCCTTGACGATATTACAACGGAAAGATTGAAGGGAATAGACTCAAAGAAATTTCTCGTTGAAATACTGTCCATGACAGCCTCTCTCTCTCTCTCTCTCTCTCTCTCTCTCTCTCTCTCTCTCTCTCTCTCTCTCTCTCTCTCTCTCTCTCTTTCTCTCTCTCTCTCTCTCTCTCGCCCTCTCTCTTTCCCATAGTGTTCCGTAATTTTATTTGTTCTCTTTTATAACCGATAACGGATCTTTTTGTCACATATAGAGGTGCCGCGTACGAATCGCGTAGAGAAAACTTCCTAATTAAGACATTAAATCTACTTTTCCGTGCGCTCACGTCTCACACGTGGGCTCTTGAAAAGTTTACATTTGTCAAGTTACTTCGGTTATGATCGAACGTGATTCCCGTGACAAAGATTCCCGCCTAAGTATATTTGAACGAACCTTACCGACGTAAAATAGCGCAGCTTTCGTCAAGTTTATTTGTATCATCGAATTTCAATTTCAATGCTTGACTAAAATAGATTTCGGAATTCTTCCAAGCAGATGGTAGAGTCATGATCGCATAATCGACCTACTCGCCATACCGTTCGCCTCGTCGTCCGGGCTACCGCAATAATGAATAGCTTTAATTAAAACACATACCCGAGAAACAAATACACACGTACGATCGCCTGTAAATTGTCCTGTAAAACCGCACACGTGTCGTCGATACCAGATCGGTTCAAAAGAGAAAAGACATATTTGCGCGTTGCAATTTCAAACGTATGACTTCCAGTTAGTTTTCGCGGAATTAGTTGAAATCCGGTGCAATCGTACATACGTTGCTGAACGTTTGCTCGGTGGATTATATTGGACTTGTTGCAAAATGGCCCTTGGAGATTTTCTCAGTAAAATCGAAGGGATATTGTATGTTTTCTTACGTACTGCACGTACTTAATGTGTTTTCTCTGTTGAACCAACCTGAAAAATCGCATTATATCTCTTTGGAAGAATTTTTCCTCTCTTTCAAATAATTTTGTTTCTTAAATTCCTTGGATAAAGATAGGAAGAAATAGCCTATCGAACAAACAGTTAGCGCATGATGTTCGCATAAACTAGGTCAAGGTATCATGGGAAGGGGCAAAGAGTAGCAATCTACGGTTAATTGAAGATTATAATGGAGACGCAGAGTAAGCTGATATGTCTGCGATAGAGACTACTATTCTCATTATTCCAGCTCGTCTCTCGTTCTTGTCCGGGTACTCGCACTCCGTGTAAGATAATTATCCTTGTACAAGATAACGCATAAAGGACATATTCTATCTGTCGCAGATAGAAAATTGTGCTAACCCCCCTTGCTATTCTGCAGATAAGAGAATATATCGACTTTCAATATTAATTTCTTGCCATCTTATCTCATATTGTAAATTTTCCGTTTTGCATGGGACGAACACGACAAACGAACACGACTATTTCTAATCACGGTTCCTGTTAGAAGGACAACCAATTTCACG